AAAGATGTTCAACAGCACCAGTAGTCAAAGGAATTAAAATTAAAGTGATAAAAGGCTCATCTTACCAAATTGGCAAAGACAAAATAGAATGGTACAGTGCAGGGCTGGCAAGAGAGTGGGGAAGCTAGCATTTCTCACTCACCTCGTGGGTAGACAGCCAATTAGTCTGACATTTCCAGAGGGCGTTTTGGCAAAATTTATCCCAGTCTCTGGCCTGACAGTCTCTCTTCTAGGAATTTATTCTAAGCAAATACTTAGACCAGTTTCAAAGACATATTGTCAAAGATGTTCATCAGAGTACTAGTTTAAAAATTGTGAAGGAAGGTACCAAAATATTAATAGTCCCCACCTCTGGATGGTTAGCTTATTCCTTAGATCCACTTTCCAAACTTTCTGTAATAAACGAGCATTATTCTTTTAATAAGGGGGGGGGACTTTATTTCAAAAATTGAGGCATTAAATCACATCTGGGTTTACTGACATATGGCCTGTAGGTCAATACAGGCCCCAGGCTGGTGTAAGACTAAAAATAGCCCCTTCATGTCCTCTGTAGGAAAAAGTCTCTAATTTTGAGCCTATCAAACTGGCACTTTCTAGATAGGAAATGAAACCAAAGATCATACTCCAGATTCATCCAGACTGGGAGCCAAGGAGGCCAATGGGGCCAATCTTTGTGTCTTGCTTACTATTTATCCTTCCCATCAGAGTAAGTATCCAGAGAGCAGAACCTGCCTCATCAGGTCTCTGCCTCCTCACATTCTGAGCAGCACCTGGGACAAATCTCTCTGGACTGTAGGAAAAACAAAACAAAACAGAAAAGACCCCAAGGTCAAAGAGTGAAGAGCCCAGGCAGTACTAGAACTTGATGTAGTCCAGGGCAGTTCCTGGGAGGTAGTGACTTGACTCTGGGACAGGAAGGACAGTCTCTTAAGCATCTGTCCTCTCCAGGTAAGACTCAGGTGTGCTTCTATGCCAGTCACCCCCAGCCTCCACTCCATCCTATGCAAAAGGCAAAGCAGGGCCCAGGGTTCCCGCTCACATTCCTTCTGCTCAGTGACTGTCTGTGGGGTCCCTTGCTGCCCCGAAGTTCTCAGCTCCTATTAAGAGTGGTGGCTGGAGTCCTATCTGCTGTGCTTCCTGCAGAATGACCCTGGGAAGTCACCTATATCTAACTTTCGCACAGACGCTCAGCAGGGTCGCAGTCAGTAAGATTATAGCCGCTAGAGGCCTGAGCAAAGCTCCCCCGGGGAGAACTAGCCTATAGGAGGGAGGCAGGTAGAGGGGCCGAGCTGTCCCTGCGCTGGAGCCCCGCTCCACCAAGGGCTCTGTGCAAACGCAGCGTCACGGGACAGGGACGGAGATGCCACGCACAGGGCCCGCACAGCACTTCCATGGGTGACCTGGGAGCTTCTAGTAACAACCCAACAATGGTCAAGAACATACCCCAGCCAGGCGCGTCCCTGCGGCCACCCAGCCCCTCGCAGCTCGGAACCATCCACCTGTGCGATCGCAGAGGCTGCTCGCGCGTCCCCACTGCGCGCACCCGCGCGGGGCACCGAGCGGACCCTGAGACCGGGCGAGAGACAGCGGAGGGCCTGCCCCGAGCTCCGCCTGGGGGTCTGCCCCTGCCAGCAGCAGCGCAGTGAATCCGCCGCCCGCACCGGGGACCTGGGAACTGTTCTCGGCTGGGATCCCGGGCCCGCTTCCTCGCCTAGGGGCTCGGACCTGCGGGGCGCCGGGC